AATATACATTTAAAACAATTGAAAATAATTTCAACCGTAAATCTAATCTTGCCCTCCTCTCCAGACTAGATTTCCGCTCCAAGCTCCAGCTGCAGCCTACCTCCAGATGCCGGACGCGGCCTCCGGTATTCTCCCTCTAGCCAATTGTCATTGCCACGCCGGTCTTGCTCCGATCAGTCTCTTCTTCTGTTCTTATAATTTTTTATTTTTGGTTTTTGTTGTTTAAATGTTTTTTTAGTTATTTTATGATTTATGAGTTATTTAAAGATTTGAGAATATGTGATGTTACAAATTAACAAGAGTGTCTACTGTGATTTTTGTAAATGGAAAATGTTAAATTGGGGAATTTATGATTTTTGATAAAAGTGGCTTGGAAATTGAAAATTGAATCGAATTTTTAAAATTATGTGGAGAAATAGATTTTTCAAAAAGTTGAGAATGAGACAATCTTGTAGCAATTTCAAAATATGAGATTTCAAAAAATACAGTTGTCTGAACTTATAGTTATAGTTACAGAATGAGATTGTATCATGTATTTTATATTATTATTTCGGATTGTACTAAATTGCATTTTCATATAAATATATAATTCTTACGTTTTAGTGCATTTATATATAGATTAAAGAATTATTTATATTATTTAATTTAATATTAATAAACGACATCGCTATTACGATTATTAACTATCGAAGGTCAACGACTCCCTAGCTGAGCGGAAGTCCTGAATCCGCCCCTGTCTACATCCATATATATGCTCATGGCCCTTTAGTATGTGAAACAATTTTTCATATTTTACGTAATTTTATGGACATGTTGTTCATATATACTAACACCTTTCTTGATGTTCTAATTATTCCGTTCCAGTGGCTAAATTTGTCGTCGTTATTTTTGAAAGCTCAAGAATAGCTAATAAAGAGAGGGTGAATTAGTTTTTAAATTTTTTTCGAAAATTACTTCAAAGTTTCAAATAATTTTGGAAGGAGTATATCAATCAAACAAATAACATAATTATGAAAGCTATAAATAAAAGGGAAGAAAATAAGCAAACGATGTAATTGTGGAAGTTCAATCCAATCGATTATCTATCTCCGTTACTGAGCTCTTCGTCACGAGCAATGCCTTTTCATTATATTTATTGACTTGTGGCGCAATCCAAAATCTTACAAAGCTTTCGGTGACTTACACATAAGGTGCACCGATCCTTATACAAACCCACAAGTTTGAAGAGATAATTTTACAATTTGAAACTTCTCTCTTAATAATTGATATATGCAAATTAAGTACTAAGAGAGAGATATGCTAACATTTCAATGAATAACAATGAATGAAAGATCAAGTGTTAGATGAGAAAACTTTGGTGATGAAGATGAATAAAGGATTTGATTCAGTCAATCAAGTGTATTCACAATAATTGATCTAATGATAAATAAGATGTAAGATCAACGTAATTTTGTTCAAGAATATCTCACTTTAATATTCTCAAAAAGTCTTGCAATGAATGTAAAAAGTGAATATATTTATAGAATTTGATGAGCAAAAATATATGTGGAACCGAACATTCAACCAGACATCCAAAAACTAGTCATGATGCACCAAACGTCAAAACGGTAAAAAAAAGTGATTGTTACATGATCTGGATGTCAACAAGGACATCCAGACGTCCATTGCTTTGTCTGGACATCTGTATTTCAAGATTTTGATCCAATTTGTCTTTGCATGGTCCGATGTGAATATTCTTAAACGCGATCTAAGTTCATTTATGATTTTGAAAATCAATATTCGCTTTTAAAAAGAAATGATTTATGGGAGTGATGAGTAAAGTAATTTTTAGCACATCAAAATGGTTTTTGAGTTTTCATCGTTTAGTGCTAAGATTTAAAGTATTTATACCTTTAATATAAAAATCTAATCCGCTATCTTCGTTTGATGATTGAATATTAAAACTCTTTATCTTGAATGGTTGACTTTCATCACTTCCTTCATTGTAAGTCTGATTTATAATATAAATGTCTTATCATCGACATTTTTGTCTGCGATCAATCATTATTACACATGATGCTTTTAAAGACTTAAAATTAATTGTTAGAGACAAAAATCAATTATTTTTTTTTTTTTTTTTTTTATGATCAAAACCTTAAGGAAAAAGTCAACCACATGTCAACAATTTTGTATTATTGAATATGATACATTTTACCCTATAGTTGGCCACAATTTTTTCAAAACTCATTTTTAGCCACACATTATTCTACAAAATAATTTTAAACGTAAATCGAAAATTTTTCCTTATTTTTTTAACCACATATTCTAAAAAAAATCACTATTCCAAAATACACCATCTTACAAAATTGGGACTCAAACAAGAGCTTAATTTGATTGGCACAGTTTACTAGGTTACAGCAATGACGGATTTGGGGTGGGGCATGGTGGGTCATTTGTCCCACAAAAATTTTTGACTTTTTTTTTTAATGGAAAAATGTAATAAATTGGTCAAAGTAGGGGAAATAAGATTTGTTCATTAATGTTATGATTATATTCGTAAAATTTTGACATGAACAAACTGTCAAATAATTCTAATATTTTAAATCAGTCAATAATGTTTAATATATATATTCTTTATGTTAAAATTCTTCAAAAAATAAATAAATCAATATTCTAAAATATACTATCTTACAAAAATGGGGCTCAAACAAGGGCCTAATATGATTGATACTGTTTACCAGGTTACAGCAATTGCGGATTTGGGTTGGGGCATGGTGGGTCACTTGACCCATAATTTTTTTTGGGAACTCCTAATTTTAAAGATCACATTTCATAAATAAAAAACTCATTAAAATATTTCAAAAATCAGGTGGTAAATAAATTTATTAAATATTAAAATACAATATAATATACATTAATTATTTCTACCAATACCACATCACCTTCCCCATCCTATCACCCCACTACACCACCTTCCGTCCACCTCTCCACTGGTGACTGTTCCGGTGATCATTCCAGCTGCCGCTTCGACGACTGTTCCAGCGGTCGCTCCTACGACTTAAAAATTTTCAGAAAATTAAAAATTGTAAATCACACCCCTGACCCATGGATCCACCTACCACCATCCACATTCGCTAACACATGTCATTCGTGACTAATTGTGACCAAGTTTGTATTTAATGTGACTAAATGTGACCAAATTTGTGTTCGGTGTGACTGTGTGTGACTAGGTCAATCTCAAGTCATAATCGGTCACAATCAACACAAGATTGGTCACAATCGATCACAATCAAACACATACTTGATTGCATAGGGTCACCACAAATAACCAATGACATCGAATGAAATTGCACCTTTTGTGCCGTCAATACTTCATACAACCTAAGTCATACCTTTTCTAAATCCAGAATGGAATGGATATCAGGCTGCACCCTACTTAACATCAGAGAGGAGCTTACCTACACCCCCAGCATTTTCCATGAACGAGTTACCAACTTATATGAACTTTCCAATTCAACATCAACAGAAGATTGATTAACCATGACCCACTTTGTCTTCGGTATGACTAACTGTGACCAAATTTTTATTGAATGTGACTGTCTGTGACCAAGATAAATCTCAAATCACAATCGGTCACAATCAACACAAAATTGGTCAAAAACAACCACGACGACCACTAGCATACCACACAACCGCTACCACATGAAAATCCAATGCTCGTAGCTACAACTAGCATACCCACCACCGCATATAACACCCGTCACCACCATAACACCCCACACCACGCCTAACCTCAACCGAACCCAACCACCACTAAGTACCATCGCATAATTTTTTTTTTTTTTTTAAAAGAGGATTAATGGATCACATCGTGGGCAGCGAAGATGAACACCCAACCACTAGGAGCCACTAGTTGTCACAACNCCCCCCCCCCCCCTCCTACATTCTCCGACGCCATAGAGTGATAGATAGGAGAAAGGCCAACATTACAGCCCCTCTTTAGCAACTATGTACCGCTACCATTGTAACCACACTAGCATCTTGCACCACCACTAGCACTACCACCACCTCCACCTCCACCTCCACCTCCAACCTTATCACATCTGGAAAAGATAGTATGAAGAAGATTGTGGTTTGAAGAAGACGATGGTCGAGAGAAGACGGTGGTCGGAAGAAGACGACGATTGAATCTATAGAGAGAGAGAAAGTGTTGTTGTATGGAGAGAGAATTTTATTTTATTTTATTTTTGAAGAAAAAGAATTGAAAGAATGGGAAAGAAGAAGGCGCATCTGAAATGAAGATATTTACTTGGGTGGGTATAGGTGTGGTGCGTGATGGGGTGTTAGAGAAAGAAAGCATTTAACTAATAGAAATAGGAATAATGAAACATGTTAATATAATATATTTTTTGTATATAATAATAATAACAATTTATTTAGTACCTGATTTTTGAATAAAATTTTTAGTAATCTGATTTTTGATAATGAAATGTTAAATCCATGTTTTTTGTTTTTGTCTTTTTTTTTAATGGAAAATGTAATATATGGGTCAAAGTCAGGGGAAATGGGAATTGTGCATTAAATTTATGATTATATTGTTTGCAGAATTTTGACATGGACAAATTATGTAATGAATCGAATAATTCTAATATTTTAAATTAGTGAATAGTGTTTAATATATTTTTAATTTTATGTTAAAATTTAATATCATTCTAAAAAAATTGATAGTTTTTTTTCCAAGTTATTATTGCATTATATTTTGTATAATCGAACTATATTGTTTCCATTTTGATTAATACTGAACATTAAAATTGTATTTGATTGATTTGTGTATTTTGTACAACGTGTTTAGATTGCTTACGTTAAAGATTTGGCCACCGTTTGGCAAATTTATAAATAACTTATAAAGATGAGGATGGTCTATGAAACTTTATCTATTGATTGGCTTAGTCATACAAAATCTTGAAATTTTGCAGAAGAGAATGTAATTTTGAAAATACATTCAAAAACAAGGAATAAGAATGCGAGAAGAGTACTTCAATTGGTTTGCCAAATGGGAAGAGAAAATGCCTTCACCTGAAGAACTGATGCCCTTATCCCAATCCCTAATAACCCCTGATCTAGCACTTGCCTTTGATATTCGGAATCATCAATACCAGAGCACGCCGCCCGCGCAGCTGCCGCAATCCACGGTTCTCTCCTCTCAACCCAACTCCTCGGCGGAATTTGACTCGGCTGAGTTGGGCGGAGGTGGAACTGGAGGAGGAGTCGGGTTGGCCTCAGATGAGCCGGCCCGCACCCTGAAGAGGCCGCGGCTCGTGTGGACGCCACAGCTCCATAAAAGATTTGTAGATGCTGTGGCTCATTTGGGGATCAAGAATGCTGTTCCTAAAACCATTATGCAGTTGATGAGCGTGGATGGCCTTACCAGAGAGAATGTTGCTAGCCATTTACAGAAGTACAGGCTTTATCTAAAGAGGATGCAGGGCATGTCCAATAATGGAAGTGGTGGCAACAATAGCCCTGCAGCATTGTCTGCTTTAGGAGTCGACCCTGCGACCGACCATTTGTTCGCCAGCTCCCCTGTGCCGGCGCATTTTTTGCACCCAAACAGGCCGAATTCTGATCATTTCATGCCCTTTGTGCCGGTAGCCTCAATTCAGCATCATCACCCAATGCCGGTGGTGGGGCCAGGGCCAGGGCTGCTCCACCATTCCCAACAGCAATTTAGACATTTTGGGACTTCACCTTCGAATGGGCAGTTTGAACATCCGTTCATTAGGCCTTCACAGGCAGTTCATAGCAATAACGGTTCTGTCATTGCACCACATTTGGAGGATTTGGAGTTGGCCANCCGGATAATGATGTTAAATCATATTGCTCAATTGGCATTGATCAAATGGCTAAAAAGAAACATCGACACCTCAAATGGAATAACCCAAGGGAAAAGTTCAAAATTCAGGGGTTAAAAAGACACGATTCAATTTTCAGGTTTCAAGTTTCAAAATTCAAAACTCAGGTTTTATGTAATTAATTAAATTTAATAAGGTCACAATTATACAATTAATGGTCACAAACACATAATTATAGGTCACATATTATCAAATTAGCTGGTTACAGATTATTTCGAAGTCACATTTTATTTTATCGGTCACAGATTAAAAAAATTATAGGTCACATTTTATCTTATCGGTCACATTTTCAAATTTATTAGTCACATACGCATAATTATAAGTCACATATTATTAAATTAACTAGTTACAGATTATTTCGAAGTCACATTTTATTTTATCGATCACATATTAAGAAAATTATAGGTCACATTTTATCTTATGGGTCACATTTTCAAATTTATTACCCTCACCCTGCCGCCGCCACAACAGCACCAACGCCCCAACACCACCACTAACAAAGCCGCCACGAACAACCACATCCACCACCAGCGTCTCCAAAAGAAACACACCACTGCCGCCGCCGCCGCCGCTGCCTAATCACCACCCGAAACAAAAACAATAATATGCATCACCACCACCACCACCCAAAATCAACAGCTGAGTTGACCAATTACAAATAACCAGTTCCACCGTGCCTCACCATCCATCCTGATCGGCCAATCGAAACATCCAAATCGACCAATCAAACCAATCCCTACCTCCCCATCCAAGCACATAGCAGCGACGAGAATCTGAGTTTATGGCAGAGAAACCTCCCTCATGGCAACCATAGCCTTCACCATCGCCTCCACCAGATCGTCGCACTCAACAGCTGAACAACACCAACAAACCCGCAACAGCACCAACAAACCCCGACACCAATAAATACACCGCCACCAGATTGTGGCACGCTGCTATAAAAATTTCAGATTTTAACTAGTTACAGATTATTTCGAAATCACATTTTATTTTATCGGTTACAGATTAAGAAAATTATAGGTTACATTTTATCTTATGGGTCACATTTTCAAATTTATTACCCTCACCCTGCCACCACCACAACAGCACCAACGCCCCAACACCACCACTAACAAAGCCGCCATGAACAACCACCAAGAACAACCACATCCACCACCAGCGTCTCCAAAAGAAACACACCACCGCCGCAGCCACCGTCGCTGCCACCACCGCCGCCTCATCACCACCCGAAACAAAAACAATAATATGCATCACCACCACCACCCAAAATCAACAGCTGAGTTGACCAATTACAAATAACCAGTTCCATCGTGCCTCGCCATCCATCCTGATCGGTCAATCGAAACATCCAAATCGACCAATCAAACCAATCCCTACCTCCCCATCCACGCACATAGCAGCGACGCGAATCTGAGTTTATGGCAGAGAAACCTCCCTCATGGCAACCATAGCCTTCACTGTCGCCTCCACCAGATTTCGTCGCACGCTACTATAAAAATTTCAGATCGCCGACGATCTGTGACAAACTCAGATCACCATCTTCGCGACCTCCACCATCTGCAAACCACCAACCCAAAGTTAACTCAACCATCGCCTGCACCACCACCACCTTCGCGACCGCCACCATCAACCACCACAAATCGTAACAACCAACAAAAAATCAAGCACGGCCGCAATTCAAAACATCTGCATCTGCATTCGGCATAGCTCATCGGAGCTCAGCTTATGGTCGTGTCTCGGACCAACGACGGAGAGAGGAGAGAGGAGGTTGGGAAGTGGAGGGGAGGGAGCAGAGATTCACTTACAGAGAGAGGGAATGGGAGGGGAGAGGGGGCGCAGAGAGAGGGAAGGGCAGAGGAGGTAGAGTGGGGAAGTGAAAAATTAGGGTTATGGCTTTTTTATATTACCTGATTTTTGAACAAATAAAGTTTGAACCTGATTTTTAAAAAGATATTTTTAAATACTTGGATTTATGTAATTTCCTCATAACCCAAACCTATAACTAGTATGGACCATTGGTAGTAGCCTAATTTATTTTAGAGTTGCTCATTATTCGACCCATAGCTCCTTGGACGGTTTTTGTGCTTAGCCCACTCATTAAACACCTATGGACCATATTGGGCTTGGCCCATTGTCTAACCTAAAATTAACCTAACTATTATATATGCTTTTGCTCCTTGATACCGTGTTATTGAAAAACCATTTAGTGACGAACTTGGCTGCGTTTGGACTTCTGCTTCATGCTGTCGTCTGTCTTGGTTATTCTCTCTCTGGTTATTTCCCAACCTGTGTGGCTGACATAATACCTTTCCTTCATGTGTTTCTTGGTGGGTACTAAAAGCAATCGGAGTGGGTGAAGTTATATGTGATATTTTGGGTTGATTGTCCATTCGTGGGGATAAAGATATTTGTACAGAAAAATATATACCAAATTGTTTACCCCTCTCAAATGCACACAAGCCCCACTTGAATAAAAAAATCCGAAGATGTGATCCCCATTCTTTATTGTGAGTAGTTGGTAAGGGCTTGGATTAAAAAATTCAGTACATGTAGCACAATCCTATTCTTGGTGGCATCGATTGTTTTGGGGTTAACCTGAGCCCGAAAATGCGTTGGTGATCAAACCTTCCGCACTACAGTATCTCTTTGTTTCTGCAGAAAAGGTTTATGATTTTGCTGGCATGATTTAGAATTTGACAGGAGAAATTAAGGGTTTTTTCTTTAGTTATAGGCTACCAGAATTTTGCTGAATGGACAATATTGCACATTTTTGTCACCTCGAACACTCAGAAGCTTTATGTTTGCATAGAACTCACTTCAAACTTGTTCATTTCTCACACGTCCAGCTTCTTCTTTCTGTTTGTACCTTCGGTGCTTTCTGGAAGAGCCTGGGATGGAAATCTCTCAAACTCAGTCCAACCTCTGGATCTTTTTCTCCAATGCCGTTTGTGCACTATTTTGAACTTTTCAATTTTCTTAGTTATCGGTATAACTGAAGCAGTGCCCATGCGAGTACCTGGTGTTCTTTAAGATTGGATACTAATAGCTCTTTCAACAGTCGTGTTTCCAGAACCTATGATTACTGGTCTCAACATTATTGGCTACGGGATTGGTTTCTATCCATATTAAGTGTTAGATCAGGTGTCACATTTACTAAAGTTGTAAATATTTGACAGCATTGTGTTGTGTAGTGTAGTCTTGTACAACTATTTGAAGGAGGAATTATTCTAGATGAAAACCTGTTCAAACCGGGGCGCCACTAGTCAGATTATTCATGGACAACACATCACCTTCAAGAGTTTTGTTAGATGAACAAGGCCCCATAGTGCCTCTGTTCATGTATGCCCTATTTAAACAAGGGTGCTATATGACCCGACCTGTTCATTTAGCAAAACTCTCAAAATTGATGTGTTGTCCAAGAATAACAATCATGCTTGATGTACATCATTGTTTACACTTTGTCATAAGCATTATCCAATTTGACAATTAAAAAAAATAATTTTATTCATCAAATTATTTGTTGACAACAATGCAAATGTCAACAAATGTGTAGAAAATGAGTACAAATGACATAATCCCAAGAACATGCTGTTTTGCATAATGTTTTGACAGTTTTGCTACGGGTACATCACCCCTTACATAAGGGGTGACATAATGCCCAAGTGGCGCCTCCTCATTGGAGGGGCGCCTCGGCCCACATGTGGGGCCTCGACACCCCTCCAATGAGGAGGTGCCACTTGGACATTATGTCACCCCTTATGTAAGGGGTGATGTACAAGTAGCATTATTCATGTTTTAAACATCTTGGATGATCATTAAATTGTGGTAAAAAATGATTGGATGACAGTGTTAATTGTTTTTTAAACAGCCCAATGATAGGTTGTCCAAGCACATCTATGTTTCCCTAGCACAATTTTGATTCCCCATATTTTGTCGAGCATACAATTTAGTGGTCCTAGAGGCTGGATTTAGGAATCCATTGGCTAAATTGATGGAATTCTCAATGATCAACTTGCCTAAAATGATAATAAAGAAACAATAATTGCAATCAAGAAATACAAATTGTATTCAAATCCCGTTGGGTTTTCTACATACACAGCTCGGAAGATCTCATCCAATCTAAAATAGTGTTGTATTACAGGGGAAAAAATCGCATTCATATTAAAAAAAAAGAAAAAAAAAACTCGAAATGATATACATCAAGTAAACACAAATATGCACATCTCAAGCAAGAATTGATTAGCATAAAAACTGAACAGATGTCACAAATAGCAGCATTGCTATACCTTGTCTAGTGCAGCCTCATAATGAAATTGAATGGCACAGTAACTCTGTGTTATCCGGGAGGAGAAAGTTAATAAAAATGTTGCCCTGGCTCCACGTACAACAATCTCCTTGTGGTAGGTGCCGGAGGAGCTAGTCCGGGAATATCTCGTATACTTTTATTGTTGGGGTTCACAATCTATCAAATAACAAATCACAGACCGTCAACTATGGATATTGGGGTGTACATAATGTGTCAATGTACACGATATATGATGCATCAACCAAGAAAACAGAATATTTGATTGTTAGTATAATGGCAACATTAAGAATGTTTTCAAACTTCTATTTTATGCCCTGTTGAATATGCAACTAGCTATCAACCTAGCCATTGAAAGCAGAAAATAATTATCATATAAGATTCTGGAAGTAAATAGATTATACATATAAGAGCATACCTTCACGACAATTATGGCTATTACTCCACATACAATCAGAAAAAGAAAAAGCATGATGCACTTATCCGTAGCCACCTGGACAATACATGAACTTAATTATTTATAACATATAAGGAAGAAACATATAAAGCTATAAATAGCATGATTATAGGGTTTCTGTCTAACTGTCTCACACAAATTAGGACCATCTGTCCCAAGAAGACTCGTATTTTGAGGTCAAATGAGCAAAATAAAATTATGCAATATTTTGATGCGATTGCACACAACATTAGTTTGTATAGAGTTCAAATGATTTTAAGCAAGCAAAAGATATAGAAAGAAAAATAGTACAAGGAAGAAAGAGATGATATTTTCAACTATATTACCTGTCTGCCAATCTCCTTAACAAGCTGTGATGCCTTTTTTATAGAAAACTGGATTGTGTCCAGTTCATTGACAATACGTCCCATTTGCTCAGTCTGTACAAATTTCAGACGATTCAGTGATTAAGCAAAGAAACACTTGAGACCAGTAAAAGAGGGTAAAGTCGGTGAGCACTAACTTGGCCCTTCAAGGTAGTAGCAGTTTCAGTTCCCACTTCAACTGTTTGGTGGACAACCTACAGTTAATAGTACGTTTAGAATACAGTCAATTGCACATTTTCAGAATATGCAATAATTATTAAATTGACCTGTTTGGAGCGTTCAATGGCCTGATCAGTCTCGTCCATTGTCTTCGTTCCAGCATTGATAAGCTCCTGATTTGACATTTCTATAGAATAATCCATGTAATGAAAACTACTTTAAAACGTGAAAGAACAGAAGCTAATGGAGATTAATAACTCATCATTTAAACAGACTAAGTATCTTATTAATATTTTTTAAGCAGAAGACTTGCTGGGTTAAAACATGTGGATTATTATCTGAAGTCGTTGAATGTAACTTGTGATAAGAGATGCTAATCTGCTAATACAACACACCATAACGTAGTTGCAAGAACTATTCCGTTAACTTCATAATTGTGCCCGCAAAAAAAAAAAAAAGACATAAAGGTGGCAACCAGTAGGAAGAAAGGGATATATAGTAATATCTTTCCCATGTACAAACATTATCACTTCAATACCATGTCGGCATTTATCTTTATCACACAGCTTATCATATTCCAGAAATCGAACTTCAATTATAGAGAATGACTGGGTTTTTAATGCCCACCTGATGCCATTTGAACATTCTCATCAGCTGTAGGCTCGCTGGCACCAGCTCCCATATCGAAAAGTTCAACCCTTTTATTTCCAAGGGTGCTCGTGTACCTGCGATGTCCCAACTCCCAAGTAAGATAGAATAGGGGAAACAAGGCATAGCAAGAAAAAGGAAACAGTCAAGTTGATTTCATGCATCAGCACTTCCATAATTCTAGGTGAACAATCATTGCATACTTCTGAGCTGGCCTTGAAGAAAATCTAATAGATATTAAATATTAATAAAACAGAACCGTTCCGATATGTGTGGATTAATGATTTGATCTTACGAGTTCCAAAATCTGGAATATAATATTATGTACCACAGTTTTAGCAAATCTAACCAGCTCTGAATAAATTGTCTGCATTCGACATAAAAATGAAGCCTTAATTCATTGGTCACAATTAGCAAGTTCATGGACTGCCTAATGCAGGAAAGAATAAGAATTAGTCATGTCAGGTCAGGTCAGGTCAGGTCATATTCTTGGCACTAAATATGAGAGTTAATAGTGTCCTTTTAGGCTTTGCATGTTAGTTTATATTTATACATACAAGTATCTTACCATTGCAGGGGATCTCAGAAAAAAAAATGATCTCTTTTTCAATCAAGCTACACAGAACTCATAATAATATTATATTTTGCATCACAACAAAGGGTTGTCAGGCAAAGATGGATTGGAAAATTTCGAAGAATAGAACCAATTAGAAAAATTTCATGGTACTCTTCCATCTTTCTCCAGTAAATAACAACAAATGCATTTTACTTGGAG